CTTTAGACCACTGAGCCATCTCTCCAGCCCCTGCATAATTCTAAATATAAGATATTCTTGAAATGAAGTACAAAGATAACAAACTTACCAGTGGTTCCCAGGGGTTAGGAAGAAGGGGAGGAAAGACCAAATGCAGCACTAAAGATATATGGAGCTGCATCATCCTTTACGGTACTCTATTAGTTGATAGGTGGCATTATACACCTGCCAAAACCCCTTAGAATTATACAACACAAACAGTGGACGCTACCATAATCTATGGACTTAGTTAATTATGTTATAGTAACATTGGTTCATCAATTTTAACAGATATATCATTAATGCAAAATGTTACCAGGGAAAATCAGAGGGCACAAACTATAAGGAAATTGTATACTTCTTGCTTCATTTTAAACCTAAAACTGCTCTAAAATAATTACGTCTAAATAACTCTATAAAATTAATTTTGAAAGATTAATTTCAGAATTCTATTTCTTTATCAGAATGGAAATGATGCAAACATCTTGCGATTGCAATAGAAAGGACTGCTGATTTGTTGGGGGTGATAAGGGAGAGGGACAAGAGCTAGAACTTTTATGATAACTTAGAACAGAAAAAGAAAATCTTCATGTTCATCCTTATTCTGTAGAAAATAATGTTCCCATATTTCTATCTGGAAGTTTTTGTTACTTATAGCCCAAGTATTTTAACTGATACATCTACCCAATGAGTAAACTGGGTAAGAGGGACTATATTCAATACACAGAATGAACATCATTCCAAGCAGGAATGTACTAAATCCCCAGTTTATTAAATAATAAGATAAACTAACTTCAAATTTTAACTTAATTACTATGAGTACTATCAATCAATAGTAAAATAAATCACAAAGATTGTTACAATCTGTGTCTAAATGTTCCCCCAAAGCCTCATGTAACCAATCATAGGACTTTTTCAGAGATGGCTGAATCTAGAGTGTACAGTGCTGAGATTAAAGGTGAATGACATTAGTTCTAATCCTGGAAGACTATACAACATAAGGAACAAAAAGAGGCTCATCTCTCCCTTCATCTTTGTTGCTTTTGCTGTCTTGTAGGTACCAAGAACTGTTCTTGGCCAAGCCACTGTGCTCTGGAGCCAGCAGATAATGCACTGAAACCTGTATGAACTAGGAGCTGAATAAACCTTTCCCCTTTTAACTTTGGGTTTTAGGTCTTATGTCCCACAATAAAGATAAGTAACCAATGGACAGAGAGATAACCAATGAGTTGATTCCCTGGTATAAATAAATAAATAAATAAATAAATAAATAAATAAATGCAAGACAAGATGAAACAGTTTAGAATATAATGGAGTTGTAGCTACTGCAAATGAATTCAAAAGACAAGAATGATTGATTGATTGATTGATTGATAGATAGATAGATAGATAGATAATCCCTCAAAAGGATACACAAGTCTGAGGTTACATTGACAGAAATTAAATCTTGCTTTTAGCATTTATTAGCTATGTGATCATATATAATTTATTTAGCCTTTTTTGAGTCTCAATTTTTTTTAAATGTATTTAGTACAAGACCTATAGGATTTCACTACACAGATTGGACTCATAGTGATCCTCCTGTTTTCAGCCTATCAAGTGCTGGGATTACAAGCACATGCTACCACACCCAGTCTCACTCCCCTTCTCAATGTGCCCCAAGGGCAGGGCCAGCATGGCACACCAGGGATTGAACCTGGTCCCTGTGCCTGCCCAAGCAGGCACTTTAGTCTACTGAACTATCTGGTCGGCCCACATCTCAATTTTTTATATGGATAATTTGATTAAAAATAGCATAATTGGGCCCAAGAGATAGCTCAGTAGAATAAGTGCCTGCCTGGCAGGGTCCTGAGTTCAATCCCCGGTATCGGAAATAAAAATAAAAATAGCATATTTGCTTATAAAGTTATAATGAGCAAAAGAGATAATTCACAAAAAAAGGCGAAAGTGAGCTGTGGATATAGCTCAGTGTCACAGCACTTGCCTGGCAAGGGCAAGATCCTGAGTTTAATTCCCAGTATGAAACAAAAAAGGAAAAAAAAAAAAAGTCTCAGCTAGCACATAGTAAGAAGTCAATAAATGTTAGCTTCTACAATTGCTAATAAAATGTTATAACCAAAATTATGGTCAATTAACATTTTGAAAAATTTACCTCGTATGGTACTTCATACATAGGAAGCACTCAATCATTGATAGTAAATACCAACATTTAAATTAATAATATTAATTATTAGGTGTTACCAAGAGACATGTAGTTTGAGCAAACAGCCTGTTGGAGTTAACCAAGAGAATAACTTTTTTAAAACTTACAGATTCTTTAATTGAATATCTAACCACAAAACTCCCAACAGTACTAAGGTAGGGAGATTCATATGATTTCTTTAACAAAGATTATTTTTAGTACTTGGGGCTGAAAGACAAGATACATCACTTTCTTTCATTTCAAATGAAATTCTCTAGAAATATTGAGAGTTTCACTTGCCTTAATTTTATATAAAACCCCTCAGAAACAAACTTAAGAAATGTTTATTATGATTTCTAGATAGTCCAGTAACCATATTCTAAAATAGCTATTCAAAACTTGTCACATTAACTTACATAAAAAGTTAAATAAAATTATACATACACTTTTTTTTTTACTATAAATTACTTCATATCAACTTTAGCTGGAGAAAGTAATGGCCATCAATAAAGCTGAAAAATCATCTTTCTTGGATCTAACATTTCTTCATACTTTGCTTTCTTAGCAACAGAAGAATATTTACTTGATTTTTTGGGGTTTTTCGTGGAACGGGGGACTAAACTCAGGCCCTTGCACTTGCCAAGCAAGTGCTTATTCTACTGAGTAATCTCCCAAGCCCCAAGAATACTTACTTGAAAAGAGAATTCTTTGGCCTTTGGGGTTTCTTTTTGGCAAAAAAGGCTGCAAACTCTCGTCCAGTACTAGCATAGCTGAGTTGAGCTGATGGTTCTGAGGCTGTACGAGTATTTTTCATGTCCAAATATTCAGTCAACAGCATCTGTGTAACCAGATAAACCACTTAATTTACACACCTATAATGTGATACCTACATATCTAATTCTAAAACCACATTCATGACATTCAAAATTACATTAACCAGGCTATTCATTTTTCTATTTGGAGATCTGAGAAAAGATTCATTATAGCCAGAAAGCCATCTGCTTGTTACATGCTTTGAGCAAGCACTGTGGTAGGTACTGGTATATGAAGATAAAGACTATATTCTCATTTAATATCTACTATGTGCCAGGTAAAATGCTGAGTTAATATCTTTCTTTAATCATTGTAATCCTCATTACTCTAAATTACATTGGGCTTCACAGACAAGCCCTAATATTTAATATGGGTTCACAATGCTATAGGCAAGGTGTTAAAGCATGTAAATGTATTATTTCATTTAAAGCATTGTTTTCAAGAAGTTCTCAGGCTGTAACATAAAGAAATGGAGCTCATAAGAGATTCAGGAGCTACAAAGTAATCCGCAGTGGACTAATTTCAAAGACAGTGATCTTCCCCCTCATTCTAGCAGCACAGTGAGAAGTATTCTATCAAACTTCTTAAACGTAGCTATAGAGAGGCTAAAAGAAGCTCACAGGTCATAACTTGCAAACTTTCCAAGACTACTTCCATCTTGAAATAAAAAGAAAAGCAACTGTTTCTCTGATCGACTATCGCAAATAGATTCTACTTATAAAATAAATTCCTGTTAGAACCAGTGGGGTTAAAACTGATCTTGAATCAGCTATTGTATCATTTCTGAGACAGTATTCTAAAGAGTTCCCATTGTTACAAAAGAAAAATTATAAATCTATAACAGAAATCATTAGAGTTTCTAAAAATATCAAACAGGAATTCAAACATCAGATCATTCCTGTAATCACATTAAAATAATAGGCCAAGATTTCAACCGTATTTAATGACCTCCAAATCTATTCTTAAAAAGAATGAAACTTCACTCACATCACAAGCATTCAAACACAGTATAAAATTCAGAAAAAAGTGAAGGACAAAACTCAGGGTAACATATCTTTCAAAATTTCACCTCGGTTCTTGGAAACATTACAACAGAAGTGATAAAGCAATGTAATAATATTTAAAATTAAGACTTCTACTTACAATTACTAAAACCAGCTTTTCCTCCATAAAGTTGCCAAAGAATAAAATCTTAACATGAAAAAGAGAAAAAGCTATGAATTTCAATAGTAGTCTAATTTCCCATATATTAGGCCTAAAATATTCTGCAGCTTAAAAAAACATAAACAGTCATTTTGAAAATGGAATGGCTGTCTGCTTAATTATACTCATTATCAATGGCAATTCTACTATTAAAACAATGATTAGTATGATCTTTTGAATAGCTCATTATTTTAGTGTTCAGAAGAAAACAAATGAAAAATTTCAAGAGTATACATGTAGATCCTGGACTTCTATCAAACACCTAATCAGCAAAACCTAGATCAAAGACCTCATGGTTTGCTTCTTTTTTATCCTGTTTCCCAGCAGAACTCTTAACAAAAAAAGACCTGATTTAAACAACTTCCAAAAGAATGCTTTCACTTATCATAATAAATATATATATATATATATATATATATATATATATATATAATTTATCCAGGGAATTTTTCTAGATATAAAAAGAGGATTCAAAAATATATCCTTCCCTAAATGTGCTTATCTGGTAATGTAGATCCACACAGACAACTACAAAACAAAGGAAAAAGCAATAACACAGCAGTATGAAAAAATGCTTACGAGCATTTGTAAGAGGGAAAGATTGTGCCTATTTAGGACAGTGAAAAGACTTAGAATCATGGCACCACAGAAGGACCAAAAAAAAAAAAAAACAAAAAAAAAAAAAAAAACCTTAGAATGTGTAAAACCTGGCAACTGGAACACAGTGCTGGGAGAAAGGAGACATCACAGTATACAGCAAATATTTTAAGTGAAATAAAAATAAGAAATGAGATAAGCCTGGAAAGAAGGTATACTAACAAACATCTAGGAGGTTTAAAATCAAGCTCATGTACTGGTAGTATACACAAAATGAGGAGATTAAAAAGGGAGTCTGAACAGATAAATAACATGTTGATAAATACACTATACATAAATTAATCTGGCAGTACACAAAATAAGAAGAAAATGACACTGCAAAGCAATACTAAAAACAAAGGAGAGAAAGAAGGGAAAGCCTCCCAAAATAGAGTTGATGTCATGCTAATAATAAACATGCGCCCCAGGGCACGCTGAGATGGCAATTGAGACTGGGTGTGGTGGCACACACCTGTAATCCCAACTCTTGGAAGGCTGGAAACAGGCAGATCACTAGGAGTGGGATCTAGTAGTGAGACCCTGAACACCCTGTAGACCCTTCCCTAAAATACAAAAGAAAAACCCAACTAGTTGATACAATTAAGTATAAACCTGAAAATCAACACAGAAAATAAAATTTAACCAATTGTTCTACATAGCAGAGGAGAAATAAAAACAGTAGCTAAAAAAGTACATATTTGAAGGATTAAAACTACTGTAATGTCATTAACAATAACCAAGACTACAGAAGAACAGGTTAAAAAAGGCATAAAAAATTTAGTTTAGAATATATTGCCTTGAAGGGGTCGGGGAGATGGCTCAGTGGAATAAGCGCTTCTCTGGCAAGCACAAGGGCCTGAGTTCAACCCCCAGGTTCTGCCAAAAAAAAAAAAAAAGAAAAAAAGAAAAAAAGAATATATTGCCTTGTAAAGAATATAAATAATTATCAAGTATTAATGTTTACCCTGAAATACATAATATGATAAGGTACAGTGTTGATGAGATTCCCCTATTTTGTAAGTTAACTTGCATTATAACTGCTACATGTATAGCCTCCAAGCTCATAAAAAATTATCAGCTCTTTAAAGGATATATATCCTTGAATAGCTGCAATCTATTTCTATCCCTTAATAGCTTAGAAAGCCTTTGCTAAAGTATAATTCATGTACTGAAAAATTCACACACTAGAGTGTAGATCTGATATTTTAAGTAATACACATAGCACATAACCATTATCATAATAATTTCAGAATATATACATTATGATGCTAACTACAACTTTTTCATAGATGGCTTTCATCAGATTGAGAAAGCTTCTCTTTTAAAAAAAATCAGCAATGGAGGGCAAGTGCTTTGCTGAATCTACTGAGATGACTGCATAGATTTGGTCCTGGTGTATTACATTAACTGATTTAACAAATCCTAATTAATTATTGTATGTAATGTAGTTAAATGTTCAGATAAATTGAATTTACTAACATTCTGTCCAAGATAATTTTATATTCATGAGAAATAATGCTCTACAGTTTCCTGTGATATATTTGACCTTGATATCAAGATAATACTGCACTTAATAGTATGTTTTGGAAAAGGTTCCTTCATCTCTATTTTCTGAAAGAATTTGGAAAAACAGATCCAACAAACTCAATCTGAAGAAGAAAATTTCACTACCACCTCTCTTCAAAGAAGAGGGAGTAAATAAAATAAAGACTTCTTGATCTCTGTGTGTGCATGTCTTCATCCTCTTGTGTTAAAGCCACAACTGTTTTTTTGACCACGCTGAAGTGTGTGTGTGTGTGTGTGTGTGTGTGTGTGTGTGTGTGTTTGTACACTGAGATTTGACCGATGAGCTTATCCATGCTAAACAAGTGCAACAATGTAGAACTACCCTAGCCCCAGGATCAAACTTCATAGTTATCTTTGACTCTCTCCAAATTACCTGCAAGTACATAGTTTTACACTATATACATTTCATGACCATTTCCTTTTCTAAATATTTTTCCTTTTCTAAATATTTTCATACCTATATTGATCCTTTTATATAAGCTCATTATTCTTCACATACATTATCACATCTTTCAAATAGTTATCCAACCTTACATTTAATTTATGTCATTCTATATCATAACATGTTACCAGATTAGGCTCAATATAATCATTCCTTTGCTCAAGTCCCAATCAACCTCCGGAAGACTAATTTCTCCTAGTTCCTTGTATGCCATTACCAACTGATAAAGCTAAATTATATCTTCTCCCCTTAAAAATTCTCAGTTACTTATCAAGTCAATTTCTTTTTTGGGGGGAAGAGGATCCTTCCTGTCTATAACTACTGCTTCAATCTATCAAACATAAGGCATAAGATCAAGAAAATGATGATGCTAAGTAGAATTTAACTGAACCATGTTAGTTCTAGTCAGATGTTACTAATCAGAATCCATATGCATTAATAAGATTGCACCTCATGCATGAAGAAACAGGCAGATGCTATATCTTTTAAGCTTTGGCTTCCTATGGAGGTGTTACCTCTGTCTTCCTTTTTTACAAGTTTTTTTGCAGTCACCTTTGTTATGTCACTTCCTCCTAATTTTGCTACTGCAAATCGCTGCCTCTTTTCCCAATAAATGTCAGTATGAAATATGCTCCAGGTAGGATAATTCATTCATACCCTATCTTCTAGTAGGAGAACAACATCCTACTAGTAGACTGACACCCAAGTTGAGGCTATCAGGAAACCAAGAAGAGTATCTCCATAAGATGTTAGCTGGCTTTTGTTACAGTTTTTCAGATATTAATAATTTATATTGACATATAGCAGACATGGCGTATGTAAGAAACCTTTAAAAGATGTTTTGGATTGGTTTACTCATGTTTCCCATACATATGTATATACTTGTTCGTATCTATCTACACACACACACACACACACACACACACACACACACACACAGAGGAATAAACATGAATGAGAATATTGTGCAAAAAATCATGATTCTAGGCTGGGGAAATAGCTCAGTGGCATAAGCAGCTGTCTGGCAAGCACAAGGTCCAGAGTTTGATCCCAGATACTGCATGTTGTGTAGGCCCTGAACCCCAGGTGCAACATGCCAGCCACCAAAACCAGGTGTGGTGATTCATACCTGTAACCCCAGCACTGGTAGCTAGACTAGTCCTAGCTATGTGATGAGA